GTAAGTGAAATTAATGAGCATAGAGGTACATAATTGAGCAGATTTCTTGCAAAAATATCGCAAACACCCCAAGAAAATATACTTGTTCGTTACTTCAATTTCTTCAGAATGATAAGTAGAAATATTCAAAATGTTTTACTTCTTTGTGCCGTTAGATGGCGCTGCTTGTAGCACACTGTCTTTTACGTTGTTCGAAGAAATAAGGTAAATTACGCCTCACATGGGTTAACAGTTTCAACCTGAATAAAATCAAGATGGATTCGATGGGTTAACAGTAAACACCAGTTAAAAGGGGAAGGGAGCCAGGCTTCAACCTGAATGAACTCAAGATGGATGGGTTTAACAGCCCATTTGTCCCTCCGACAAACATCAGCTGAAAGGGTAAGAGAGCCAGGCTCCAAACTGAACGAAACGAGAACGACTGTCCTCATGGGACAACAGCTGCCAGTTGAAAAGGCAAGTGAGTCACGCTCCAATCCGACCGAAGCCAAGATGGCTGTCGATGGGTTAACAGCTTATCGGGCGGATGGGCCAGCAACCAAATCCAATGTGACATTAGTGACAAGACTCAATTTATCTTGAGTGATGAATAGAAATATTCAGAATTTGCAGAGTTGAATTTCAAGTTCAGTTAGATTTTTTCGATGTCGTTAGATGGCGCCACTTGTATCTCGTCCCCTTCTGCTTAGTTCCAAGAAATAAGGTAAATTACGCCTTAGATGGGTTAACAGCTCATCGGGTGGGTGGGCCACTAACCAAATTGATTTTGATGTCGATGACCAGGCAGAAGATTAATATTTTGAAATCTAGAATTTAATTGTTGACAAATTATAATGATTGTGTTTTGCATTCAAAGTAAAATCCTCTCCCCTGCTCTATATAAAAATTACTAAAAGGAAACGCCTGCCGATCATCTTGGTTTCGTTCAGGATTGGAGACCTGCTCCCTTACCCTTTTAACTGATGTTTGTATTTTTTGCTTTGCCGCTCCCATCGACTCAAATCGGATCCCTTTCGAAGCAGATTTTATCTATGGAAACAAAAAAAAGTCGCACGGTGCCAAATCTGGCGAGTACGGCGCGTGTTCGAGCACTGGAGTGCGTTTATCGGCCAAATCCACGAGTTGTTCTTCCACAACTCGGGCCGTTTCTCACAAACTCGTTCTCTTAGTGTTGCCAAAACTGACAAATAGTAAATCTAGTTGACAGTCTGAACCTCTGGAACCCATTCAGTCGTCACGATATCGTTAATGTCGGAAAAAACAATCAACAGTGCCCAAAATCGCCATTTTTTGGCGATTTTGGGCGATTCAGGCGTCTTCCAATGCATCAATTGCTACCTTGTTTAAACATCGTATTAAAAAATCCACGTTTCGACGCAAGTATAAATGTTTTTCATCAGTCCAGGATCTTCTAACCTTTCAAAGAAATCTGAACAGGCCTGTTGACGCAAGAGCTTCTGGTCAGGAGTCAGATTTTTTGACACCAACTTCGCACAGACTTTTGTCATGTGTAATTCCTCGTGTAAAGTTTTTCTAACCGTTTCTTTATCGGTGTTTACAGCCAGAGCCGGATTAACCGTAAGGCAGAGTAGGCAACTGCCTAGGGGCCCAGGATCGACAGGGGCCCACTGCAGTTCGCAAAAAAAAAGTTTTATAGATCGAAAATGATAATCAACAATACTATTCTTTTTTTTTTCAACGCATGTAACACTTTATACATACAGAACCATCTAGTATCTAATATTAGAACTAATATAATCCTTCGGACCGCAACTGGACTTCATTCACGTTGGGGGAATCCCCGATTCGTTGGGTGCGTTCTGTAAGCTTTCGTAGCGTGATAATAATTTGTAGCGTAAAAATCCAGAATTTCTTCGAGAAAATTATGATGATCATTTGCATTCAATGTTGCAACATCACTCCTCCGCTTTTTAAAAAATCGCTAGAACGACGTTAACCATCTTGACTTTATTCAGGTTGAAGCCTGGCCTCCTTCCCCTTTTAACGCTAGAACCTCAAGTTGTTGTCTTTATTTATAATGTGCAACCACGCATTGAATAGCGAGTTGTAGGTGGTGCCATCTATTGGCAAAAGAGAAAAGTTAAAATTTTAAGGTTTTTTCAGCATTTGCTCATAATTTTGGAAGAGTCGCTGATGACATCAGCTGAAATTTTGTTTGTTTGAACACCGTTAAACGGCGTCATTTCTAACACACCGTACTTTACTTAAAAAACGAAGACATTAGTCAGTCCAAACTTCAAAAAGTTTTCTTCCTAACCTCAAATTATCAAAAGTCTTTCAAATGAACTTTGACTGAAATTTAGTGGAACTATTAAAGTCGTAGATCATGAATTATTTTGAAACTTTTACCTTTTTTTTTCTTATGATTCGGAAGCATGCAGGACTTTCACGGAGGAAGGTTGAGCTCAAACTCAATTAGTGTCAAGGAATGTCTTATATTGAATAAATAAATGAACAGCCTGTACATTCCAAAATTAAGTTGAATTACTATTGTGCTGGAAAGCAATAGAAAGTACAATCAAAATATCTTTGAAAATTGGATTTTCATTGATTTAATGGTATGTGATTACAAAAATCAAAACATATTTACAAAAAAAATAGTACCCAATTCTTCTCTTTGAGTAATTGCTAACAATATTTGTCAGGATCAGTATGAAAATAATATATTTTAACATTTACAATAAAACCAAAGACTTGATAATACAACATCGACTTTGAATTTTTATTTCTTTGAAACACATTATTCCCTTAGAGTCTATTCGGTATGTGCCGTTACGACGGGGTCTCATCTCCAATCCCGTATTTTGCCATCAGCTCCAGTTTCCTTCTTTTCAAAAGGGCTTGCTCGATATCTTGTTGTGAAGGTACAGGTACATGCGCAACAAACCTTTTTTGTGATCCATCTTGGATAGTGTCAGTGTCAACGGTATTCTCCTCATCGGACTGAAAAAATCAATGATCAGTAACCGAATCCCAAGCAAACTTGGTTGTTGAAGACACATTTTTCACAATACCTCAAACTAATGTCACTCCCAATGAAATCATTCAAAAATTATAGATCACGAGCAACACAGATGTATACTGTATCCTAATGTAAGAGATCTGTTCAAAAAATAGGTAAATTTTCCTTTTTCTCAAAGAATAATCATTTATTTATCAATTTCTATTTTGTCCCCCCTTCAAAGTACCCCCTGTCGGATATAATACACTTGTGCCAGTATTTTTTCCAATCCTCCAAGCGGTTCTGATATGCACTTTTTGGTATCCTTGAGCTCTCTCAGAGATTTGATGTTGACGTTCTCAGCAACTTCTCTGATAGTAATTTGACGATTCTTCATAACAATTTTCATCACTTTCTTAAATTTTTTATCGGTGTGCCAAGGTGAGCGTCATCATTCACATCTTTTCGACCTTCTGTGAGAAGCTTGTACCACTTGTAAACATTTTTATGAGTCTGAGCAGACTCACCGTGTGCCATTGTCAACGTTTCAAGTGTTTTTGAGTACTTAATTAAATTTTTTACATAAAATTTGATGCATATTCTTTGATCCGCTTTTTTCAATAGAAGAAAATTGCCAAACAATCAAAACACTTCTAATGTTTATGCCTCTCCCTCTGATACTNCCAAATATTCAATTATTACTAATTATTTTTATGCGAGACTGTATTTTCAGCTTATCCTTACACAACAAATGAATCACATTCAACTGTCAGTCATGAAGTCTAATTTTATTACTATTAGGAGAGAATATGTTGAAAAAATGTAATTCTTCACATTAAATGGTTGTTCAATTAAAATGACCATTTTTCATTTATTTTTTTTCTTTCTTCAAGTCGTAACATGAAAATATTCAAACTACTATGTGAACACTTCAGTTATTGAAATAACCAGATATGGTCTTGTCAAAAAGTGTATGCTCAATTAGAGTTCAACGACCAAAAAAAATTGGGAATCTCTGTCTAAGTAGAAGACTACTCTTTGATATTTCTTTGAATCAAAAAACACATCCAAGTATTTGACTGTACCATACTGTATTAATAAGTTATTTACAATACTGCAGGGGTGTTGAATATATGTCTTCTAAATTGCATTTAGAAAATTAAGAATCATTGGTGCTTCCTTACCTGGCAATTCTTTCGCAGCACCGAAATACTTGTAACCCCTATTCCCTGGAACCTCTTTTCCTTCATGATCCAGCATACGAGGCCCCACTCTCTGATAATCTGGTCCTCCCAGCTCTTTAATCTGATCCTCCCAGTGGCGCTTCTCTCGAAGAAGTTTGTTAATTTCATCATTCAGGTCTCTTATTCGAAATTCTCCAAGACCCGCGTTTTGGATTTGAGCAACTTTCTTGGCAATTTCTCTAATGATCTGCATTCGCCACTTTTCACAAGCATATAAACTTTTACATTCCGATGCTAGGTAAGGCCTCCTTTTTTTGTGCTTTTCTGTTTCTCCCAACTGAGCTGCTCTCCATCTGGCTAAGGTGGTCCTGAAGTCAATTGGAAAATAACAATGAGTACTTATTCATTCCTAAGAAACTACAACATATACAGGGAATGTATACAAGAAAATTTCATTTATAAATATATAATTTCAAAAGCTATTTCAGAATTGGTCTGATTGCAAACAAAAATAAAGAAGTATAATGATATAAATTTGTCCAGCAAATAATTCTTTAATGCCAATTTGAATTTAACAGTATTGGGGAAATGTTTGCCATTCAATTACTTATAGACAATTATTCCTCTGTAAATTAAAGATATTCTGAAAAACAGATTTTTGGAAATAGCAGATTTGAGATCTTCTGTTAACAGATAATTGTCTTGTTTGATGTACATGTATATTTTTATTTTTATCGACCTTTTTTTGGGTACCCAAAAGAGGTCGATAAATACCTGATTTTCGTCCACAAAAAAAGACTTTCATTGAATACATTTCTATGTTCTGTAAATTTTATAGTGGAATAAAGTATATAAATTAGAAAGGAAGTATTGAAAACTTACATAGCCTTCTCAGCGTTACGTGCCATTTAATTTCGTCTTTTCGGGCACTAATTGTAACAAAACTATATTTACTTCTATACGCACAATTTGTCTTCTATACGGTGACACAACGGTGACTTATGTTTCGTCTTATTTTTTTTCCCAGTAATGGCTTCAGCTGCCAGGGCTATCCAGCCATGAAGTTATGTTTACGAATGACAGTATGACGTTCTCTTCTTCTTTTTCCTTCAATGGTATCAGCTGGCCAGAGCTAGCCAGCCAGGAGATATGGTTTAGTTATGTCAAATTGAGCTGCAATCCCTTATACCAAGAGAGGGCGCTGTAAATGCCAATATGTCTCTTTTATTAGCGAACAAATATTTATCTGACCTTCACATTTGGCTCATTTGAAAATACTCCAACACCCTTTCCGAACTTTGTTCGATTTTATACGTTTTATATTATTTATACAGTGTGTCAAAAATTTCATTTTATTCAATTCTGTGTTATTTTTGAAATTGCAAATCGCTTTGGCTCCTTCATAACTTATTTTCAAATTGATAGCAACATTTTAGCCAAACTAAACAAGGAGCGAGTAAAAACGCGAAAGAATTTTAATAAATTCAAAGCGTTTCATAAAATTTCACATTACTACAGAACACCCAATTGATTTTCTATGAAATTAATTTTACTGTCGAACATTTTATATCTATTATTCACTTGTTGAGCAATGTATGAAATGTCAAAAGCTGACGAATCTACTCGTGGCGGATAATTATGGTTGCGCAGTAGTCCTATAAACATAAAGCAGACACCAACATCAAAGTTTCCGACAAGAGTAACCGTTTTTATCTATACTGTGACACTACTGTATAAGCGAATACTAGTTTTATCTACACTGACAATACTGCATAGGCAAAAACGATGACAACTTTGTATTTTGTCAGCTCCAGGTGGGTCATTTCAGATGGAGTGAACCGTCTGAATATCTACCTGTCTTCGATATAGTAGGATTTCCACTGCGCCATCTGCAGACAAAGTTCGGAAGCAACTCCACAAACACCCCAGCCAGTGTGAAAGCCAGAATAATAAACATATTTCGCAGAGGTACATATGATATGCCCAAGTTCTGGTGAATATACCGTTGCTTCTCATATGTAACCTACGATTTTGTAGGTACGTGTGGCAGATACCCGACGGAAAAATAACATATAACCCTGCTAATGCCGCGTAGGATGCTGAAATATAATCATCAAGCACCTGTGCAACTTCTTACATTTGAAATAACACAGTGACCCTCTAAATTCATACATTCTCTGCTAATAAGAGCACAAAAATTGCTACATACGAAGATGTCATCTATAGTCTCGAGAAAATACACAAAGCTGAACTTCCGACATGAGACGATGAACGAGATTCATTGTCTTTTTTCCTTTACACTCAGGTTTCAACTAGTGGCCTTGCAGTGAAAGCTGTAGAGAAAAATAGAACACGATTCTCGTTCAGACGTCAGTCGGTTCTGCAACACCGTTTTTGGAAGCGTCATTAATCATTGATATTCGTGATTACTTTTTTCAGGCTGTACTTCAAGGAGAGTCCAAAAATGCATTAGTTCAGCCTAATAGGTGGAAAGAGTACTGTCCCGAGTTGAATCACAATTCTTTGTGTTCTGGTTTCTACTGTTCAATTCTGTATGATTTGGAAGCTCCCGAGGGGCTTCCTGCGCACTTTCAATAATTAGAATAATGATCGACTTTATTCATCACAAGAGACAAAGGATATCTCAGAGGAAAACTTTATGATGAAAGGGCAAAGTGTCAGTTAAAACTTCTCAACCCTTTTCGACCACATGCAAATGAGAAAGAAAACTATTCTTGTTCTTACATGACCTTTCCTTTAGAATCAAGATTTTTTGTAAAATATTTTAGGTGAAGTTTGCACAAAGCGATTTTTATTCAAGATATTTCTTTATTCTATATCAACCTATGTGTCTTATAAGCTACACTGTATCTGAGTCGGGCACCTCTTAAGGTAACAGCTTTCGGCAGAATGCAATCCCTCACATATATTCCTCTTTTCTCAGGAGTCCAAGCTTGAAAAGTATATTTATCATCCACATCGCAGTTAATAGCAATCCACCCTACAAAATCAAATAATCAACAAAAGATTGAATATTACTGGAGTTCTTTCCCAACACCAATACGTTATTTTCAACACCTCAACACGTGTTTCAATCACCAAGTTAACGTCTTCAAGAGAAAGATTGAGCTTTCTCTCGAAGAGGAAGATTAAACTTCCTCTTGAAGAGAAAGATTAAATTTCCGTTATTTTTGACACCTTGACACGTGTTTAAATCACCAAGTGATCATCTTCAAGAGGAAGATGGAACTTTTTCTTGAAGAGGAAGATTGAACTTTCTCTTGAAGAGGAAGATTGAACTTTCTCTTGAAGAGGAAGATTGAACTTTCTCTTGAAAAGGAAGATTGAACTTACCCTTGAAGAGGAAGATTGAACTTTATCTTGAAGAGAAATATTAAATTTCCGTTATTTTTGACACCTTGACACGTGTTTCAATCACCAAGTGATCATCTTCAAGAGATTAAGATGGAACGTTCTCTTGAAGAGGAAGATTATGCTTCCTCTTGAAGAGAAAGATTATGATTCCTTTTGAAGAGGAAGATTAGGCTTCCTCTTGAAGAGGAAGATGGAACTTTCTCTTGAAGAGGAAAATTGAACTTTCTCTTGAAGTGGGAAATTGAACTTTCTCTTGAAGAGGAAGATAGAACTTCCTCTTGAAGAGAAATATTAAATTTCAGTTATTTTTGACACCTTGACACGTGTTTCAATCACCAAGTGATCATCTTCAAGAGGAAGATGGAACATTCTCTTGAAGGGGAAGATTGAACTTCTTCTTGAAGAGGAAGATTATGCTTCCTATTGAAGAGGAAGATTAGGCTTCCTCTTGAAGAGGAAGATTAAGCTTCCTCTTGAAGAGAAAGATTAAGCTTCCGTTATTTTCAACACCTCGACACGTGTTTCAATTACCAAGTGATCATCTTCAAGAGGAAAATTAAACTTCTTGAAGAGGAAAAGTATGCTTCCTCTTGAAGAGGAAGATTAAGCTTTCGTTATTTTCAACACCTCGACACGTGTTTCAATCACCAAGTTATCATCTTCAAGAGGAAGATTGGGCTTTCTCTCGAAGAGGAAGATTGAACTTTCTCTTGAAGAGAAAGAATAAACTTCTGTTATTTTCAACATCTCGACACGTGTTTTAATAACCAAGCGATCATTTTCAAGAGGAAGATTGAACTTCCTCTTGAAGATGATCACTTGGTGATTGAAACACGTGTTGAGGTGTGTTGGTGGTGGGAAAAAACTCCAGTAATATTCATTGCTACATCAAAGGTTCCAAACAGTGCATCACAAACAGAAAATTGGCAATTCTTTGTTTCATAGGTATCATTATTAACTGAGGGCCAGTCGTTTACCTGCACTGGATAAAACAACATCTTTACAGGAGTATTTAGAGTTGAGTGCCGTTACAGAAAAAGGCTTTCCAACTTGTAAACCTGGCCACTTCGATAATCGATCGTGCTCGTTCACAGGCACCTTAAACAATTCAGTCCCCAAGCATTCCTCATAAATTCTATCAGCTTCTTCCAGAGCACAAACTGTGAGAGGCAACTTACTGGATCTGAATACTGTCAATCTGAAATGTTTTCAATGCAATAAACAACCAAAGAAACCACTGAAAAGTGTGAGTGAATGTTATATGAAGAAATAAAAAAATTGATATTTTGAACTAACTACACAGTAGGTTCTGGTAAATGCCAGCCGGATAACAACTACTTCCCCGGCTAATACCACGCTGAATATTGATTTATATCCGACAGACATTTATGCAGGATACCTCACAGATGTTAGGCCCGCAGTTATTTCTTGTTCATCCAGCAACAAGACTACGTTGAAATAAATTCGAATGAACCACCCATTTTCAGTAAAACAAGAAATAACTCCACTCGAAACATGTCTAATTGCCATTAATTTCTGACTTAGAAATATATATGTATAAATTTCGTGGAGACGACATTGTTTCGATTCTGATTAATTACCTCCACTTTCAGCTATGGACTATTTCTTATACATTTACAAATTTTGTTTTTCTCAAATTAAATATCCGATAGAAATCAAAAGTGAAAACTATCGAAAAGAGATACATACGTATAAGGAAATGAATATTTCAAAATAAACTGCAAAATATTAATTCCTTATAAATATCTGATACTTTGGATTGGTTTGGAATAAAATTATTTTTGTTTCTCCCCTTCAAATTTGTTTATAAGAAAAAATCTATGAACGCTGAAGCAGATTTACTTTTCCTTTTTTGCTTCTCATTATCATTACATAGTATAAAACAAAGTCAAGTCCGCTGTCTGTCCCTATGTATGCTTAGATCTTCTCAACTACGCAACGGATTTTGATGAGGGTTTTTAAATAGATAGAGTGATTCAAGAGGAAGGTTTATCTGTATATAACATGCATAATATAGTAGAGAAACACTGATAATTTTGGAGGTTTCTAATGTGATGTCGTAAATAAACACATTTTTTGCGCCTAAATTGCAAACCCTGGCTGAACCCTACGAGATAGATTAAAAAACGTACTACAGTATTGAACACCTTAAAAAGGTCTAACAAAAAATTCAGCGATGGTATATGTCTATCTCCCACAATGACCATTTTCTTTATCATCGAGAAATAACTACTTATTTACGAAGCGTTACTATGAAATGAAATACTTTATTCAAATGGGATACATCCTAATATGCAACAATGACAATAATGTTAACATTATTATACATATAAACACAATAGAAAAAAAATCTACTGATATTTGTTAATAAGTAGTTTTACCTACGATAATTGAAAATACAAAAAAATAATAATACATAATAATTTGGTATCACCTTAATGGTATCTTAAATGGTCTAATATATTTCTTTTGAACAGAATACTCATAAGACTGTTATACTTAATGAATCCTTTAAAAGTTATTGTTTTGGTGTTGTACTTTTTTGTTTGATTATTTACATACAAATTATTTCTTATTCTAGGATTATACTGATGGATTTGATTATTAAAAATTACAAATTTGTCAAAATATGAAGGTAGAAGGTTATGCAACATGTTGTAAATATAAATCATCCTTAAATATGTGAGCCTACTTTCTATAGATAACCATTCTAGAGTATTTAACATTAATTATATCGGGGTACTCTTGTCACATTGCAAAATAATCCTCATTATGCGATTCTGTAGTTTTTGAAGTGTTCTCATTTTATTTGAATCACTTGTGTATAGAAGAGTGGTACAATATTCTAAATGTGGTTGTATAATGGTCTTATATACAGTTATCCGTGATTGCATAGTCAAGTATTGGGACACTCTTGTGAAAAATATGATTTCTTCAAAATTGTTTTCTGTATGTAAGTGAAATTAATGAGGTCAATTTTGTCATTTTCTATTTTTATTTCAATTTGATTTAAATCTAATCCTCTGTACTTAAACGGTGTAAGTTTCACAGCCTTTGTTTTGTTGACATTTAGCTTCAATTTATTACTTTTTAAATATGTAACAATATTACTCAATGCTTGATTCATTATTTTAATAGCTTTATCTATATCTTTATCACTAACTGATACTAGGGCATCATCAGCAAAATAATGTTCATAATCACATTCATTACATTTGCTGATATCATTAATGTAAATTAAGAATAGCAATAGCCCCAAAATACTTCCCTGCAGAACCCTGTGGTCTACGCTTATTACCTTTGAGACAAACTCATTAATTTTGGTTACCTGCTTCCTTTCTGTAAGGTAATCACTGATCCAATCAAGTACTATTTCTTCAATGCCATATTTTTTAAAATTTTCAATTATTATTTTACGATTAACCGTTTAAAAAGCACGTATACATGCCTCTACTCATTTTATCTTTCCATTCAGTAACTGTAAGCTGAAGTGCGGATTCGCATGAATGTCTGGATCTAAAACAAGATTGGTTTGTGAATAGTTTGTTTTCTTTATTGAAATATTCCAACAGTTGTTGATATACTACTGATTCTAACAGTTTTTCTTCGCAAGGTAAAGTGTTATTGGCCGATATTCATCAGATTTTTTTGTGTTTGAAACTTTCACGATAGGCGTAACTGTACTGGTTTTTAGATCATCTGAAAAACTACCATTTTGTATCCAATTAACTACCTTGATATTGTGCATTTATTGTAGATCAATATGTCTTTACAGCATGTAATTTAAATGAATATCTTCCAAAATAATAGAGATTTAAAATGCAGGGACATGACGGTTGCGGCGGTACCGGCCGGGGAACCGGCGGCGCGTGCCAGGGCGGTTCACTAGTTTGATTATAAGCCAAATTCAATACAAATACCTGATTGAGTTAGGCCCTTCGAGATAGTCCAACCGGGCCAATCCTGCTATGAACACCGTCGTCCTTGGTTTGACACAGAAAGTCTTGGGTCTGATCAATCCTTTCGGAACAGCACTCATCAGCTCGTCCAACGTGAGCAGATTGAGAATCTGATCAGGCTGCACTACTCCAGGCGTATCGAAACACCAACGACTCGCAATGTAAACAGGATCCTTCTGGTTTATTCCCATCTGGACGGTCCCAGAAGCACCAGGTGAGCCTCGAATGGAGAAATTCTCGGCAGAGGCTTGATCTTTCTGTTCCATGAAAGTTCGTCCGATATGGCCGATTAGGGTGGCGTTTTTAACACTGTTGGCTATCTTTAAATGTTCGCTTCTAACCCGCTTCTCCTTGGCAGTCATTTGTTTGAGAGCTTTCATTCTCTGGTGGCGCATATAGAGACGGTAACCTGATGGGCGCGTTATGGGAAACTTCAGGAGGTTCAGAGTAGTGCCGGGCCATTGACTGATCGTTGCTCGTTGGATCAAATCGACTGCCTGTATCTTGCAGTAGTCTGAATCGAGAAGGGAATTGAATAGGCTGGATTTGCCGACATTTGTGCAACCTACTAGGTATACATCGCCTGAAAAAAGTGTTATTACTTATTGGTATGGAACACCATTTATATATTGGTTTGATCTATAGGATAGATTATTGTATTTTACTCCTTTTTTTCACTCAAAAATATTTAATACGTGTGTTGTGGTGCGGGTTCTCAATGAGAATTAATGGTGCCAGCCACGTGATTTTCAGCCACTTTCAATCCCTCAGAAAAGGCAGGATACCAATCCAAAAATTGAACGAATTCTTCTCCTAATCCCAACACTAGTGGAAAATGAAATTTCAAACAAACTATGTACAACGAAAAAAAATCTCTGGCTTAATTTTGCCACCAAGCCGGACCTCTGCTGACTTCCAAAAACGGTGGTCGGAAAGGTCTTGGTGGGCAGCATACTCAAAATCTCACCAGAAGATCACTCTTTTTTGCATACTTCCTCACACAGCATAAATCACAGATCACCACCTATATGGCGAGAGCCATTCGAACATACACTCAGTATATGATGTTAAACATCCCAAAATGATAAAAACAGCAACTAATATCGATATGAAATGATATTAATTGGATTTGTAACTAAAGTTTATTTCAGATAAATATTGACAGTTCGAAATTGTTGTACCGATTTGAAACTTCGATTCTTTGAATTTTGACATGCGCAGATTGAGCTGCCGAAAGGGCATAACATAACATGAGAAAGAAGTATCGATACTGTCATCGCACCAAAAGAATAATTTTTAGCGACCTTGACAACGAAGTACGGCCCAAGGTCACCAACAAAGGCTCAGAAATAAAGAAGAATAAGAAACCTTCATCTGTCGGTAATATTCGATATAGTTCTGACACGGATAGCCTTAGTTGCTGAGGCCATTGAACCGAAAAGAAGAAGAAGAAGTAGTTCTGACAGTGCCATTTTCTGTCAATATTATTGATAGAAAATGTAAATAATGCTTACAGGAAATAATACTATGGAATCTCGGAGAATTCTTATACCTCACCTACTATCAGGATACGAGAAAATATGTTTTGTCGACCCATAGTGAATTAATGTAACAATCGAGGAAAATGAATGAAACAAACCAAGTAAATTGACTACATAAAACATCCATGATGAATGGCCCAATGAAACAAATCACTGAAAGTACATAGTCACTGGGGTACTGTACAAAATTGTATTTTCTTGCAGTATTTTCGTAACATCGAAAACGAAGTGTAACAATTATTGTCTTTCTCTAGTATGAACATTGTATGTTTCTCGAGAAAATAATCGGTGTTGTTATTACAGTTCTGTTTTCATCAAAATATATCAATTTTTTTTAATGCTTGTAGAAATGGCTCTGTGAATTTTCTTCAATCAGACTAAATGCCATCAAAAGTAAATTGAAAAACCATTAATTACCTTTGTGTTTCCATATAGACTGGAGAGAGGTTATTAAATCTTCAACGCCATATCCTGTTTTGGCAGAAATGAGAGCCACACCCAATATATTCGAACTGCCAAACCCTGATAACTTCACCTCATCCAGAAGCTTATCTTTCACGTTCTTCAAAAAATTAGTTAGCCAACGGCTATCTTCCACCCCTCCCAAAAATTATACAGTGAGTGTAAGAAAATAATTATAAAAATACTTATTTACTATCATAACAATGATGGAGAAGAGAAAAAAATAATAGATCATATAGTTGCTAATAACTCTTAATATTCTTACTATACTACTATATATATACTTACTATACTACTATACATTGAATTTTAAATTTTTTAAATTAGGACTAAGCAGTAAGCATCTGTGATTTTATTTCTTTCTTGAATTGATGAATATTATGATTTAAAAGGGGTAAAATTTCATTCAGATAAGAAGGGGCTATATAAGAGAAACATCCTTGAAATTTAGAAGTACGGTGCCTAGGTATGTTGAATGAGTTAATTCTCAAATTGACCATATGTATGTCAGAATGCCTGCTTAATACACTATAACAAAAAAATTTTATCAAATATTGGACTCTGTACCTCACATTCAGCTCCTTCATTTTTAACAAAAATGGTGTGACATGTTCACCATATAATATACAGCATACGAATCACATGCAAGCATTTTGTATATGTTGTAACTTCTGCTTGTTATATCACGGCAAAAAATTGTAATACACTGAACAACATTACTCGATATGGGGGTAAATAAGAGTTTTAACTAACCTGAGTTTAATTTTTTCTGATAACTAATACTTGAATTTGTATAGCAATTTGAGTTTGAAGAATGATACTTTGAAAATGTTTGTCACATGTTCACGGAAAGACAAAGAGCCTATCTATGGTCACACCAAGATTTTTAGCACTGTCTACCCAGTCAATGTGTGCGTTATCGAGAGTGAGTCTAAAATTACACTGAGTTTCTACTATTTGTCTTTGAGACCCTATGCATAAGGCCAAAGTTTTATTTGGATTGAATTTCAGTCCATGATTCTCCGAGTATAAGAATGTTTTGTGCAAATCTGTGTTTATATTGGCCACGCAACTTTCTGTATCAGTGTTATGAGAAGATACATATAACTGTATATCATCTGCGTATAGATGTACTTTACAATATGATAAGAAAGTGGGGTAATCAAAAATAAACACTGAAAATATCAAAGGTCCTAAAATACTTTCCTGCGGTACATCCGAGATTGTTTCTTATAGGGATGACCATGAGTAATCATCCAGTTTGACCCTCTGTGATCGGCCTGTGAGATAGCTGGTCATCCGTTTAAGAGAAATGCCATTGAATTCTATGAACTTGAGCTTGCTGATGAGTAAATCAAAATTAACTAAATCAAAAGCTTAACTTCGATCAGGCAGTACTAAAATGGTGACTTTTGATTGATCTCTGAAGGTAGGTGATAACTAAGGTACTTAACTGAATTTTGTCTACCTCTGACAATGTGGAAACGCTAATTAGAAAACCGTCGAGTAAACTAGATCAATTTGATTATTCAACAGGTTGAACCTGCAATTTTTACGCTTATGAGTTTCCAAGGATTCCAAATAATTGAGTTTCCAACCCTTGCTTGCACATTGCAAAATTTCCGTATCATTTAGATTCGGGAACTTGTGGTTGCATCCCAAAAAATGGTTTGAAAACGTTGAATCATTTTTACCTAGTCGGAAGGACCTTTCATGTTCAACATACAGCTTTTAGCAATTTCAACCACATTGTCCCACACAAACAACACTATTACACTCCACCTACTTTTCTGCTTAATTTCATCATAAATATTTTCGGACATGTCGAAAGCGGCTTCACATTTCTCACCGTCAATTTTTTGTTCACCAATTAAATTGTGTTGACTATAAGGAAATTGTGTTATAATTTTTTGTTGTTCGTTTTCATACTCTGCATTCCCAGTTATTGAATCTTCTGATTTTCCTTGGTGTTGCTCCTTTTCCAGATATTTTAAAGAAAGAGGTAACGGCTGAAGGGTCCTTAAAGCTGTGTGGCTCTTATCCTTTAATCTTTCCTTCTTAAGATTAATGAGGAAATTTGTTTTGCAATTTTCTTTCATTTCTTGTTCCTCTATGATACTATTGTAAAATATTTTCTTTCCATATTTATCAATTATTCCATTTATGTCTTTCTCATCTAATAAAGTATCCACTTTAGTGTTATTGGAAACCATAGTAGTGGTTGATAATCTTTTAAGAGTTTCATGTAGCATTGAGGAATGCTTGATATAGTCATGTTTGTATAGTTTCCAAAAACTTGTAGCTGTGGAATATCGAAGCATATTTTATTTATTGATTTTACAAAATTTTTCAAAAATGAATCTATTAGGAAACCGAACATTAGCTTGCTATAACTTAAAAATCTATTTTGACACTGACAGAGATTCTTCTTCTTATTTTCCCGTTAATGGCTACACCTGCCAGAACTATCCAGCCAGGAGTTCCAGAATAATGTTGCTATTACAGGTGGAGCCAACACTGAAGTGGATCCGAGTCTTACACAAACCCCACCTGGATTTGCGCTAAAACGATGTTCAGCTGTAATTGAAGTCAAATAACAAGCACTACGGTTAAGTGTATGGGCACTACGATCAGGTCATGATTGGCAAAGCACTGCATGCGCACAAGTATTAGATTTGTCTTGGTTACTACAGCTTTATATTGGATACAATTAGAAATCTGGATATGGTTTGTATGTTAGTGATATAGAAATTTGAATATGATTTGTATGTTAGATGGTGATATATGTTTGAAAAAGTTATCGTGGAAGGTAAGAGGCTGAATTGTTCAAGTAGGGATAACGAGAGAAGCATGAAGCGTTTGTTTTTGTGAAAATTGTTAAGGCAGGCAGAGAATATATATTGGAGGGTCTGTATTTTCCCACATTCGCAGCGGTTGTCATCAACTATCTTATGTTTGTGAAGTTGCGTTTCACTGAGAGAATAAGTCCTCCTAATTCTGCACATATTGGCGATTTCTTTACGAGAACAAGTAGTCAGATTCTTGAACCATGGAGTTTTGTAAGGTTGTGGTACAGAGGAAAAATAGAGTTTGGCTTTGAATTGTCCGTCTCCGCTATATTGATTGGTTCAGTCTGCTTGAGGCTGATTAGATGAACAGAATATTTTCCAATCGGAAAAATTTATTATATTCATGCAGTAACTCATCGGAGTGAATTAGAAGTTTGCCCATTTCAATTCTTCATTACACGAAATTTTGACAGATCAATTTGTTTTCCTTGGGCGTTACAGTGCTTTTTTGCGGTATATATTCGACTGAGATTTTTGAATTGTTCACTTCTTAACACGAAAAAAGTAAAAAAAAAGAAAATAACCATTGGGTGGGTATTCTCGAATCATTATTGGAAAGATACAAAAAAATACATAGGAGTTTTCCACTGCGCGTGATTCGAAAATACCCGTTCTAGGGCAGAAATCATGCTCAGTTGTATACATGCAATTGTCTTAAGAATAAGTATTGCTCAAGATTATTTTGCTGGATGTCACCTGTGCATACGTTGCGACGACGAGTGATTCAAGAATTGGCCTAGCAACAGAAAGCAAGTTCCAAAAAAAGAAGAAGAAATGGACTTTTAGTTTCTATCTTGTCATTTGAAGGTTAAAAGTTGCTTGTAGTGAACGTGTGCATGCTAAAATTTAACAATATTTTTTGTTATATTATACATTCTAAGTAATCAAAAACCAAAACTATGCCTGCAGCAGATGAAGTGAAATCTAGTTGGGCAGATGAGGTGGAATTGGAAGGCGGCGCCTTACCAGCCTCGACAGAGGTTTATGAGAATGGTTACAAGATTGTGACAGATTATAGTTACAATGACGACGATAAGAAAATTAAAATCGTTCGCACTTACAAAATCGAGACACGTAAAGTTTCCAAATCGATAGCTGTACGCAAAACTTGGAAAAAATTCGGAGAGTCTGCTAATGATAAGCCTGGGCCAAACCCACATACAACCATTGTTGCAGAAGATGTTTATATGCAGTTCATCACCAGCAAGGAGGAGGATAATAAACAGGAAGATGAAGGACTTGATAAGTTGAAAGGTATTTATTATTCGAAAGTCACTACAATTTTTTTTAAGTTTATATTGAAGGACGGGTATAGTCTGCCGAACACAATCCCCAACAAGCTTGTTTGCTTCAATTAGATATGATCAGATTCATTGATAAGGTGAAGATGCCTTTCACCAACTAACTAATAAATTAATTATATTTGTCAAAACTCAACACTTCAGTTTGCTTTCGGAGATACAACCAGTCGAAAAATTAACTATTTTGGAAACTCGCTTTTGGTAAAGTGAAGCTTGTGAAATTGTACTTTCTTTTCACGATCTCATACTACGAACCGTTATTCACCTGTTACAATCATTATTATTATTTGGCAATATCAAGAAAAGAAAATTATATCTCCAACCTTTGAAAAGTTTCATTTTATAAACTGCATCAACCATGTTCAGTTATTAGTGGTAGAACAATGTCAACAAATTGATGATTATTTAATACAATTGCATCCATGTGTCTTCTTCAATTTGGTTCAATTTTAGGTGTTTCATAAGATTGTTTATAAGGAGGTTGTTTTTTAGCTTTATAGAATATACTGAGATATTTTTTTTTGCAGCCATGGGTGACAAGAATGTTGTCAAATGCCGAACTTGTAACGGAGACCATTGGACTTCCAAGTGTCCTTGGAAAGACACCATGTTGGCTGGTGGTAAAGTACCTGACGATAAAAAAGCCCCAGCTCCCGGCGGAGGCCCCACAGGATTACCCAGTGGCGAGGCCAACAAACCTGGCGGTTCAAAATATGTCCCTCCAAGTTTGAGAGACGGCGCTGTCAAGAGAACTGATGGTCCCAACATGGGTAGAAGAGACGATAATTATGCTGCCATCAGAATAGCTAATCTCAGCGACTCTACCACGGAAACAGACTTGGAGGAGCTCGTAAAACCTTTTGGACCCATTCAGAAGCTCTATCTGGCGAAAGATAAGCAGACAGGCCTGTGCAAAGGCTTCGCTTACATCCACTTCAAGTTTAGGAACGATGCAGCCAAGGCCATTCCCATGCTCAATGGACACGGTTATGATCATCTCATTCTCACCGTTGATTGGTCTAAGCCTTTGCCAAATTCGAATCAGTAATTTTTCTGTGATGTAAAATGACGCAGGGGACGAATAAAGTGTATAATGAAAACATCTAGCTGTTGAGTTTGTTTTTCTGGTGGTCGACTTCGGAAGCCTTAGTCTTAAAAACTCTACTTTCTATAAAAAAAAATAAATTAAGGAAAATTAATATCCTAACATCTTTGAGTATGTTATTTTTTATTAGGAAATTATGATTTTTTAGATATTGATCTTTTTGTTTTTATGTAACTAGTTATTGTGGACGATTTTGTCAGTTGAAATTTTCATTGAAGATCTCATTCTGTGAACATTCATTGGTAATTTTCGATCCCTTCCAGGGATTATCCGTCTTCCTGTAAAGAACTGGTTAACTGAGATTAAAACAATGTTTGGATTCCTTCACAAGAGAAGGAACTTGGGACGAAAGTTGAACCACTAAAGTGCTTGAAGTGCAAAGAAATTAGGAAATGCACAAAATTCCCATTAATGAATGTTTTCCTAAATTTGAGGGATTTCATTGAACAAACATAATTAGGAACACAATTAATGTTCCATCAACTTTTCCCAGTAGTGTTTACACATGAATATGCAGCAGGCAATGATATTTTTTGTTATAATCTCTATGAATGATTAATAAATTTTTATCACTTACAGTGGACATTATGAGGCATATTGCAGACAAAACATTTTTTTCGCTTCCGGCAGTCTGACTTGTCTATTAGTTTCAAGTCTCCCGAAAAGACTGCAGCATAATGAGCCTGATCATTTCTTTCATAACATCCATTTTAGAAATCTTGTTCCCTGTTCAGGTCTCTTGGGTTGTTCATATATTGTTTGCCTCTTGTGATCCAAAGTCTCACATTCACAGCTCTATTTTGTTCAGGCGTCCCCTTGATGTGAGTACCCCTATAATTTTTCTGAGCCGATCCCCGTTATGTATGAGCAGTTCTTTGGTTCTCTTCTAGCACAGCCCCTTTTATGAAGGATTTCTCATGTCTTTTTCCAGTACTATATGTTTCTTATAGACACGTTTCCAATCTTGTTCTGTACCAATGATGTTGGTACCAAACCAGCTGATTCATGGCCTATATATGGAGTTGAGGATCCGTATCTGGCTTTTTCGTAGACACCCGTACACGGGCAAGTGACAAAAATATAATGCTTCATGAGTATCATCTCAATTTTGCCAAAATTCACTCTTCATTTGTAAAGGTGCTGCTTATCCGAAACTTTACCATTCATGATGTAACTCTAAACTAAATAATGAATAGTGGTCCTTGAATATGTCAATGACTGATGTAGTTTAGTATTCATCATACCCTAGGAAGGTATTGTATGACGCTGCCGTTTAGTGAAATCAATTTTTATCAAGTATTTAACACGGCTTTTCATCTAAAATTAGCCAAGTTAATCTTTGGGTTACAATTCTGAGGTTTCCCAAGTCGACCAACAAAGTCACGGACAGTGAACATTTTGAATAAAGAAATGTGAATAAATATTGTGTTTGATTTTCTAGATGGAAATTGTTTCAAATTTATCTATCACTATGACAAGTTTTCGTTGTTGAGATTTCTAAGTCAACTGTAGTAAATGGGGAAAATCAGAAAATGGGAAAAGTACTCCGTGGCGTTTTTTCGCAAAAATATCGGTACGCCTAAACTAAAATTATATGCAAACTAATAGTTAGCATGAAAAAATCAAGTATTCTGTATGGACTGATTCTTCAATTCAATAATTTCTCTAAAATTAGAAAATAAATAGTGAAAAAGTCAAAAATTTTCTTTTCGTTTTCTCCAAACAACTCCTGGATTCTTATTCTATTCTATTTGGAAGTGAAAAAGTTTCGTAACTTAAATTTAAAGGGGTAGGTATATTTTTAGGAGAGATTTTTATTTTTTTTTATAAATTCAATATGTTAGTTTGAAAAATACCTAGTTCTTCTTCTTCTCTTTTTTTATGGCCTTTGCTTCCCTTAGCAACTGAGAACAAACGATATAAATGAATACGCACCTTTATAAAGAGTTTTTTATTTTAAACAACATACAACAAATATTATTGTCAAAAAGTTTAGGATGTAGAAAAATTCACAGAGTAACAAAATACAAGTTATTTTCAAACGTAAAAACTAAGTATCCACAACTACTTTACTTTACTGAAGAAATGACGATAACAACAGATTTTGGTACATTGTGTCATGCATGATTTGGTCAATAGCTTGAGAGTAGTAGTAGTATACACTTATTGAAATTTTTAGTCATTGAACAGTTCAAAACGAAGTTGTTTGTCACTTATATAATATCACACCAAGTACTACAAAGGATAGGAAAACCTACTGAATTGTGAAAAACGTCCTCAAAATCCTGAATATGTAATCCAAACTTCTCTTTGTGACCTCACCAGAACTGCCTATACCAGCATCCAAACATCAGTAACATCAATTGATGCCATAATGTGAACTAGAGAGAGGTTTCACCCACATTCAAGTTTGATTATCATACTCCCGTAATGTCTCATAGATATGTAACATATTTTTCTAAAAAACATATACTGAACGGCCTCTATGAAGCCTTCATTAAGATCATTTTCACTGATAGCAAGCATATTGTATCAACGGTCACTTTTGATTCTCCAAAGACCACTTCAACAAACTGGTATTATTTCAGTACATAATCACAAAATCAACATCGTCATCATTATAAAAGTTTCTAATGCTACTTGTGATCGGAAGTACTTTTTTTACATAAGTCCTTTACCAACTTCCATATAGAAACGTAATGTTTTTAGTGAAATTGAGATGAATAGAACCACCATTAGAACGAATACATTTATAACGAATAAACGAAAACTATATAACTATATATGTTTCGAAATATATTCTAACTTATCAGCTATTTACAAAAATTTAGAGGTAACTTTCTACAAGTTGATACGAAGAGGAAATTTTTTTGAACGAGTTACAAAAGAATATAAGATGGATAACATTAGTACTGGCATATTTACTTAAAAAATCGTGGAAAGCCTTATGTATGAGTTGACATTGGATAATAAATTGATAGTAGATTACAAAAAGTACAGATTCGTGATATTTCTTCCACTTGGAGGAAAGTTAAAACAGTAGTACCCCAAGGCAGCATTTTAGGCCCAATTTTCTATACCCTCTATACTGCCACATTTATCAAGAAGTTGGAGTCTTGTAAATATCATCTTTATGCAGATGGCTCTCAACTATATTTAACTTTTAAATCTTCAGATATAGGTCAAGCAGTAACCGATATAAATTTTGATCTAAATACGATTTTAAAAGTGTCCACTGACCGTATGTTGAAAATCAATTCAAAGAAATCAGTAGCTATTATCTTTGGAACTGATAGCGTCAGGGAAAAAGTAAAGAACTACAGCATGAAAATGGGAGACTCTGAGATACAATTTAGACCGTATTAAAAACATTTGGGGTTGATTTTAGATCATAAATTGAGATTTCATGAACATGTAATCTACAAAAGTACGCCAATAATGAAATCTATACAACTCAACTCTCCAGCCAGTAAAATATTTAGTGTATATCACTCAAAACATCCAATATTTTGCCACGTTTTTCGACATTTATGGTCCTTGTTGCCAACGCACGGACAAAATAGACATTGCAGTTCGCATCAATTCCCAACAAGCCGGATTTCTGTACAGGCTTAATTACGTCATTATAAATGAAATGTCAAAAGTCACAAATTTTGTATAAACGGTTTATATGGTCAGTATGCATTATCTCAGGCCCATTCAATTGTCATCGTCTGATATCGTTTTTGACCGATCAAAGACTGTTCCAACAAATCAACAACGAAGTTTAGCTAATGCTCACAATAAATTGCGCTGATAATGATGCTGATGTACCTACTTATTATTCTAACGCAATAGAACAATTCAGTCTGGAGGTTTTCATGCCTGATGTTTCGTCCACTACTGTACATACATATACATTATCAATGCAGAAACTGCAATGTTGGAATTTATCTCCGGTTTTACATCATCATTGATGTCCGTTGCTTCGTTTATCTTGATTGATTTGAATGATTTTGTGTGTGTACAACTAAACAGATTTTAGTAACATTCATTGCCTCTTCCTTTCTATTGACATTATCTCTGTGCTTCTATCAATGTAGGATAATATGTGGATCTATCAATGATAAGCATGCATTCAAAGAGATAAGATCATTTACTTTTTGAAAACCTGGGAAAGCTTGAACTGAAACAGAAATATATTCTTCACAAAGTTTACAACATCGGAAATTGTCAATAGGAAAAAACTGTAGTATTTAAATTGCCATCATCTCTTCCGCACGCTATCATGAACAGAATTAGCTTCCTTATTTGTATACAGTGTGTAAAAGCCAAATGAAATGAATTCATTATTTCGGTTACGGTACATATTTTAACAATATCCCGAAACACGTCAAATTTAAATTATAATTTGACATACTTCAACGGAAAAATACCACCTCTACCTTCAACCCCCTTCTAATGACAGGTACAACCCCCAATTTTTTAAATGCTTGTGATATATAGTTTGGAAGATGTCTTCATTCTTTATTGAAAAATGTTATCGATTTCAAGTTTATTGCAACAATTATGATAAAATGAATTGATATCATGTGGTTACCGAAATTCGATGAAAAAAAACTCGAAACTTGTTGCAATATACTCAAAACTTATTTCATGTTAAGGTATTGATAATAAGAAAGTAAGCAAAAACAATAGGAATGTTCTTTTTATATGGTATCCTTTGAAAAACTGTAAACAATTTCAGTGAAAACGCTAATTCAAAATGTCTTGTTAACTTGTTGTCAGTATTTTAATTTAAGTTTAACGTTCGTTAACTTCAAGTCTGACAAATGGTTAGATTAACGGAAATGCATAAAATAATAGTTTTACAAATGATTGGTTACGGAGCTAAAACCCGAACACAACAGGAAGTAGCTCGCCTATTTCATGAGAAATTTCCTAATTTACCGCCCATATCTCAAGGAACAATAAGCAAACCAGAGAAGCAGTTCCGCGAGCTTGGTCATGTGGGCAGAAAAAAAGCAGCTGCCAATGCAATGAGTGATGAAATCGAATTAGATGTGATGCTTGAGTTTGAGGAAAAACCCACACACATCGAGTAGACAGGCATCCACTACATATAATGTTAGCCAAACATCGATAGTGAACATATTAAAAGAAAATAAACTGCATCCTTATGAAATGATATCTACTCAGGAGCTCATGGAAGACGTACGATTTTGATAGAAGAACTTATTTTTGTTAGCAAATGATGAACATCTTGGATTACACTATCATCCAATTAGAAGACGTTATGTTTTCTGATGAGTGTACTTTGTCTCTTAACGGTCCTGCTGATCGGCAAAATTGCCGCTACTGATCAACGGAAAATCCTCACTGGATGAGAGGAGAACACACGCAATACCCTCAAAAGATTTGGGCAGGGATTGTAGGAAACCATATCATTGGTCCCTTTTTTATTGGGGCAACTTGAATGGCGTTAATTATTTGGCACTACTTCAAAATGATGTCATTCCAACTTCAGAAAATTTATTTCCTGATCCAGGAAACTCTTACGTCCCAGTGAATACGATATGGTTTCAGCAGGATGGAGCACCACCACATTACCAAGTTAATGTCCGGCAATACCTCGATACAATATTTCCCAATGGGTGGATATGGAGGCGAGGACCGATTGAATGGCCAGCGCGATCACCCGATCTTTCACCATTATACTTCTTTTTATGAGGATATGTAAAGAGCAATGTGTACAAAACTGAACCTTCAGATTTGAATGACTTGAAAGAACGAATAACGCTTGTGATTAGGTACGTTGAATAATGTTAGAAGACAGTTGTATTTGAGATTAGGATGTTGCCAAGACGTTCGCGGTGAACATTTTGAACATCTACTTCGTTAATATCCATAGTTTTTTTCGTATTCTACACTTTATTACGTTTCGCATTACGGTTTAGTTTTTGAGTATATTTTATCGAATTCCGGTGACCACATAGTTTTAATTTATTTTATCATGATTGTTGCAAAAAACTTGAGAGAGATAACATTTTTGAATGTAGAATGAAGATACCTTTTGAACGATATATCACAAAACTGTACTTTCCATTTTATGTACATTTACCGAAATAATAAATTTATTCCATTTGGGTTTTTACACTCTGTATATGAAGCTCGGATAAAGTAAAACCGATAGATTTTTGAATTTCCTGAAAATGAGAACAATAGAAGAGTACAGTTATCTTGTCTTCCTACAACATTTGCTTCTACTTATCAACACTCGTTTCGTGTGTTTTACTAAGTACAAAGGTGGCTGGAAAATAAACTGAATCTTGGCTGGGGCTCGAAATTGATGAATAATAGTGTTGAGCCAATCCAGACTTCACTTTCACCTGCTCCAGAGAAACTGTTGAATAAATCTTTTTGTAATTGCAAAAAACACTACCGGAACAATTGTGGATGCATTGTCAAGGCCACTTTTGTACGAATGTTGTATAAAATGTAATATATGAAAATTCCTGGGAAATATAAGGATGTATCTGGTATCTATTTTTTTTTAAACAATCCACACAAATCGAGCAAGAAAAAAAAAAGAGATTCATGAAGAACTAAAATCGCGAGAACCTAAAAACCGCGATTCCTAAGAAAAAGTATTGATAACATTTTTGTACAGAATTTCACGATCTAGAAGCATTCACGATATGATTTTTTCGGTAGCTTTCACCAATTGAGAGATATACGCAAGAAAAAAATTTGTGACCTTTCACCTCGAATAAAAAACACACATATTTGAGGTCTGTTGTTGGAAACTTTTGCAAATTCAGACCGTTTTTCGTCCATTTTGTCTGGCCTAATTGATACGATCTATCTTTTGTGAATGATTTTGAATCCAGAGGGCAGTGTATATCATCGATGACAACCTCTGAGTGGTAGTTTGATATTTATTCCAACTAGTGTGTTATCATCAATCTGGTGTCATTGCTACTTTTTTTATGTACATTTTGAAGAATTTAGAGATTTTTTGAAAGTGAAAGTGAGAGTTATTACATATCTTCATAATTACAGTCCCAAGAATCTAGAAATATGCCAGTTTATCTGAAACTGGAAACATAGAACCAAAATCTCAAAGAGAAAAATATTGGCCAATTTTTTATTGAAATGAAAAAAGCCGGTTCATAAGTTTTCCACCAAAGAGTTTAGACAGACCTTCTTTCCTTCTGTACCACCTCTCTTTGTATACTCTATTCTGGTGTATTCCACAGAGATGATCCAAAATTGTATATACCAAGAGATTGTAGAAATAATTCTTATATTCTTTTTCAGTTTTCTTACAAAATTGTTTCCTCGAACCGCTACAGGATATGAAGATTTTCACAATTTTTGAATTTCGAGTCCTCTTTGCCGAATAGCCATGTGAACATTTGCCTTGCTTTCATACTCGCTTTCACCATTCCTCGACTCTTGTACCATTGTGGGGTGTGTCCTCCTTCCTCGAAGTTCAGTACTTTTAGTCTGATTTGCGTTAAAATTCCTACTAGTAGTTCGTCTACATTGTGGTTGATGCCTACAGATATTTCTATGAACTTAGCTCGAAAAGTGCAGGCCAGGCATTTACCATCTGCAAGAAAAACACGAGAGTTATAATAATAATAATTATTCAGTTGGATCATCTATAGATGACATTGAGTATGTCAAAACGTGTACAAATACAACATTAAAAATACAAATTCCGTGCACTTGGAGGCACAATATACAATTTACATAGATAGTAAAATACTATATAGAAGTCAAAACCAAAAATAATTTTTTATTTATGTAACAGCATCGTTATTAAAATCTTCCTAAAATGTTACACATGTACAGGGTTATAAGTTATCATCCATATATTCTTTGAAAGAATGATAGGATTTATTCAGGAGCAACCCTTTGATTTGATAGTTAAACTGTTTTAGAGCCAGATTTTTATTGTACTTGAAAGTTTATTGTACAATTTAATGGCCATAAGCCTAAGATATGCTTCAGATACAACTAATCTGTGTGTTGGCACTTCCAACTGTAGGGAATTTCTAGTATTATAATGTTTATTACCATTAAGAGTAGGAAAACTAGTTATGTGCTATTTTACATATTTTAATATCTCATAAATGTATATTACCAGTCAATATTCTGAGATTTTGGAAGATGAGTTTGCAACTTATCCTTCTAGTAACTCCTGCTATATACCTTATGTTTTTTTTTTAATTTTAAGTATTCTGGAACAATCACTAGATGGTACCCAAGCTATAATACCATAGGAAATGTTACAATGAAAGTATGCATGGTAGTAAATTAATAAGAGTGATCTATTTACATTCCAGCGTAGTTGTTGAATACAATTAGATATTGAGGATATCTTTTTACAAATCGCATCAATATGCTTGTGCCATTTGAGATTTTCTGAGAAAGAAAGAGTCATAAACACGAGAACGGTTTGGAAAAAAGGTTGTTTTGGAAATGATAATTTGCCCCTAATGGAACAGACTTGTCTGAAATCGCTGAAGGGATTCCACTAAATTAAACCTGGATAATTTGATCTGTCTGCAAAGACACGCGCAAAGGAAAACAATAGTAGTTTATAACCACCATGTTGAGATACGAATGAATAACTTTGTTTCATTACTTTCTTTAATTCAATCTCACTACGAAAAAGAAGGAGAAGGAGAAGAATATATTTATTGAAATAGGTAATCCTAATACACAATATTATATAAAACATATTACTAACTAGATACTGGAAATAATTATATAAAAAAACTCAAAATGTAGATATAGTTCCAAATTGAAAATAAACATTTTTAGTTGAATTTGAACTAATGAATTCATAAAAATATGAAGGTGATAAGTTATTCAGAATTTCATATATAGATGTCATAGTTAAGTAATACAACCGTAAAGAAACTGGTAGCCACCGCAAACTTTGTAACATAATTCTAATTTCCGTGAATCTATTCACTTTTAGAACAATTCGCATACCGCGATTTTGAAGTTTTTGTAATTGGGTTGTTTGATTAAGATTAAACAAGAAAATAATAGAAGCACAGTAATCAAAATGTGGTTGGATAATCGCGTTGTACACAGTAATTTTAGACTGAGTGGATACATTACCAGAAATTCTTGCGAAGAAATATAGTTTTTTAGATATTTTTTTACATATATGTTCGAGATGATTGCCAAAAAGTAATAAATTATCTAACTGGAATCCAAGATATTTGATGCATGACACAATTTCAATGTTTTCATTATCGATTTGTAGATTAATTTTATTTAAATCAAGGTTGTTCCACTTATATTTTTTGTTGTAATAATCATTCCTTTAGTTTTCATTTCATTCAGTTTCAATTTATTTGCCATGAGGTACTAATTTACATTCTTTAATACGGCATTCATTTTATCAATAGCTTTATCTAAGCTTGTATCGTAGCATGCAAATAGTGCATAAGATAAAAAGCAGAGGTCCTGAAACGCTACCCTGAGGCACACCTATATGTATATCCAATTCCTGTGAGATATTATCTTGAACTCTGCCTTTTTTTTCTATGGGATAAATAGTCAGATAATCATTGGTAAACATCACCATCAATGCCATGACCTCTTAATTTTATTAGAAAAATATTACGATCAAACACGAGAAACAAAAATGTATGAAGAGATTTTGGAATGTTTGCAAAATGCATGATGAATCAGAATCCAATATTACACACGGAGTGTTATCAAAGAAGAGGTGAACAAATTAAACCCCCTTCCCCACTCAATGGGGGAATTAAACCGAAAAAAAAACAGTTGATACCATTCTAAAACATGCAGCGCCTGCTTTTTTAACGAATTTTTTGACCAAAATTGAAATGCATAAATATTTCATTTTGGAACTCTAATACGAAACTTTTTTCTCTTCTTGCTTGTTGTCACACTAATAAATTACTGTACCCCGTTTCCTAATAGTAAAGAATAATAAATGCTCATTATAAATGCAGAACGACATCAAAGTGCTCAAATGAAATTTTGTGATTTTCTTGCATCAGTCGTATAGGCCGTTTTATACTACTTACTTATATTACATTGACTAATAATTTATATGTACATTAATCGATGGAAAACGTGAATTCTCTATTACTCAGAACTGGTGCATCCACCCTAAAAGTAAAATACTCTGACACATGTTCCTTCACCAAATATTCAGCATAACTTTCACCAAATATTCAGCATAACTTTCGCCAAATATTCAAGTCTGAATTCGATGAAAAACAAAAATATATTAATACTAGTAATAATTGTCTTCATACTTCCCCATTACAAGTTCATATACTGTTAAAATATCGAATGATAAACATACAGAGGAAATGAAGGCTGAATACTAACTCGTAGCAAGATAATTTGAACTAATATGAGTGGAACTATTTAATTTTGAAATTGTTTAACTTGAGAAAAGTTTAGGTCATTACTTGAATTTCATGTATATTATTGTGATAATGTAAGGACGGGTTATTAATTGATAATTTTGTGTGTGTAAATATATTATAGCCACCATAAGTCAATTGTTACTTTTGTAGGATTCAATAATGACAATAATGATGTAAATACACAAAATTTGTATCATCACTTTTAAGCTACGTTTCACACAATGAAAAAATGAAATAAAAAAAAACGTGCTTGCTGCTTATATTTTTATAATACTGTCAACGCTATATGTCAAAGCACACTAAACACTGATTGTCTATCCGACGAGAGAGGCTGCCTTCCGGTGACTTATGCGTGAGAGGAAGGGAAGCCAGACAAACTGCCGGCGTTACGCGTTAGGTAACGAAGCCGTTCACCCTCCCATATGAAGTTATCTCTTCAAAATATTGAAATAACTTCTATATATGCCTTGTTTGTTTTTTTGTCACAGTTATGTAACGTTTCCTTACATCTTTCTTGATTGGGAGTAGGAAAGCGGTACCTGTTCCTAATTGAAATGACTATCTCTTTATTTGCGGTAACTTAGTTACGATGGAATAGAAGACACTTCAAGCATACTAATGAAACGAAAAATGAAGTTTACTTGCGAATTTTGATATGGTTTTGCATCCCTAACGTTGCATTAAATGAAGGTGAAAAAAGTAGATAATCAGTATTGAATATAAACTGTCACTGTAGAAAGAAAAATCAGAGTGCCATTGTTCTGGAATTTTCTACTCATTCCAATGGTTGCTTCAGTAGGGAAAGTAATGACATAAAGGGGCCTTACTCCAAGGTTTCATGCACTAAACCATTGCCACAAACCATCAAGAAATCTCAAGAATTGAGTGTCAAATTTATCCCTGTTTTCAGCTGTTTTCATGCTTTTGTTTGTATGTTTGTATCCTTCCCGTGGGTTCGGCTACCTGTTGGGCGCGTCCCCAGGTAGCGGATAGGGGAACGGCCAGGGGACTGGAGGTCCTATCCGGAAAGCCAATGTGCCCTTATGGACGTGGTCGCCGGACTCCTGGTCAGTGGCAGGAATAAGTAGGGTGAGAGGAACTAAAACTCCCCGAAAGCTTTTGCAAAAAATGCATCGTGGAACAGCCTCCCAAGCTAAGATGTAAGGAATCGTACCGACAGCTGAATGGCCGCAGGCTGATATGCGGTTGCGAACAATCCCCTTGGAGAACTGGGCGAAACCTCATTGTAATGAGTCTACTTCTGGTAATGCGGGGCTCTGTCACAGGTGACCAAGTCCGCCCTTGTCAATAGTGGGAAGCACATGAATGAAACAAACACAAAAACAGAAACAACAAACCCCAAAATAGAAACAACAAAAACAGAAACCAATTCCGAGGCCGGACAGAAATGCTCACCTCAATCTAAGGCGGTGGCTGGGTAAGAACAGAACTGTCCATCCCAATCTACCGCTTGGAATGAGGCTGAACATAGCACATCACCTCGTGATGTAATACAAAGGCCAAGGCGTAAGCGCATTTGCGGCGCCGACGCCAGAAGGAGAAAGAGAACGGAGGAGGCAGGAGTGGCAGCAACTATAAGTGCACCCTCCTCAAAAAAGTCTGCAGACGAAAGCAAAGAGAAGCCTGGAGAGCCTATAGTGAAGCAGTCAAAGACTTCCCACTAGCTTCTAGGCTACAGAAGGCACTCTCAAATGACCACCATAAGAGTATCGGCATCTTGACGAAGGAAAATGGCGACAAAGCCGCCAACCTCTAGGAGAGTGCTGATATTCTTATGGAAACTCACTTCCCAGGTTCTGTCTTTCCTGGAACGACGAACTGGACGGATGTATCAACAACGACTGGCAATATGCTAGTACAGTAATTGATGAGGACAAAATAAGATGGACTATATCGGGCTTTTCCCCCTTCAAGTCACCAGGACCTGACGGTATAAGACCACCCCTACTTCAGTGGGGACCGGACACTCTTATGCCGCACCTGGTTGGAATATTCAGAGCCTCTCTAGCTCCGAGGTATACTCCCAGTAAGGGAAGAGAAGTAAGAGTAGTATTTATACCCAAACCAGGTAGGATGGACTACACCCTACCAAAAGCATTCCGACCAATTAGTCTCACATAAAAGATGAAGTACTTGTTAACAACCCACTTCATCCAAATCAGCATGCATATACCCCGGGAAGGTCTTCGGGAAGGCCCTTCACCATGTGGTTGGCAGAATCGAGAGATCATTGGACAACAAAGAATCCACCCTGGGTGTATTCATAGATATCGAGGAAGCGTTTGATAAAACAACCTTTCCAACAATTACCCAGCAACTACACTCCAGGAATGTACCCCTGGTAGTAGGAGAATGGATACTCCAGATGCTCTCTAGTAGAGCAATGAGTATTAATGTAGAAGACATCACAGTGGAAGGACTGGTCATGAGGGGATGTCCACAGGGAGGGGTCTTATCACCCCTTCTCTGGAACATAGTTCTGGATACCCTAATTAATCACCTTAACAAAAATAGATTCTACACAGTTCATACGCAGATGACATAGTTATCTTGCAGACCGGCGAATTTGTAAACACACTGTGCGATAGAGCGCAGGATGGGCTCAAATTAATAGAAACATGGTGTAAGGAACACTCACCGAACTACAAAAGATTGGACCAAACAGAAATTTCGGAACAAGTGGAGCAGCACATATTGAATATGTGCACGGACCACATGACACCGAAATACACCTTTAACACAAACTTCACGGCCAAAATTATAAGCCGTGAAGTGTGGAAGACCATTAGTCATCCCGAAAATATGTTTGGATAAAACACCTGGTATACAGATGGATCAAAGACCAAACATGTAACGGGAGCTGGAATATACCGAGCGGATAGAAATTTAAACTACAGCTATCCGCTAGACATCCGCCTGAAGACACATCCGCCTGAAAGACATTCGTCTTTCAGGCGGAAGTGTTTGCTATCTTGCAGTGTGCAAGGCTTAATAAATTGAGACCTAAAAGAAATGAGCGGATCAATATTTTTACAGACAGCAAGAGCGCACTAGGGGCTCTGCCAAACCCGAAGGTGACATCAACCAGATTAGGACATGGACCAATAAGAAGCACACAGAGTACTGGACAAAAGTACCTGGCAACAACAAACACAGAAGAACCTTCATTAGCGAATCGCCCGAGAAAAGAACCGAAGAACTACTTCAATATAGTAGGGCTCGGCTCAGAATAATTACAGGGTTACTAACCGGTCATTGTACGCTTAGAGAATACCTGAATAAAATGGGGCTGTACAACAGAGACCTCAGCTGCAGATTATGCAACGAAGGTATAGAAACAGCTCTACACATCTCATGCGAATGTGAGGCACTGAATCACAGGCAATATATGGACGTACAAAATTACGCTCAGAAGAATATGACGAACATCCAACACAGAACCTGTACAAACTAGTACAGGGAACGAGACTGATGGAATGGGTATCATGTGAAGATGGGAGAATGAACGCAATGTGCCCAAGAGGCTGCAGTGTTTTCTGGAGACTTGGACTGAATGGAAATGCCAGACAGCTCCCAAGGTACCAAAAAAAATGGTGTATAGATAAAAACTGGCAATTAATAAAGGTTTGAATAAAACAGGTACGAATACAATAGAAATAAATGTAAAAAGGGATACACGATATAAAATGATTCATTAAAATACTCTTGCAAGCTATAATAGGGTCTATCAGCTAGCAAATTTCTAACTGCTTTCTTGAATTGTACGTTGGTCAGATTTGGATACCTTATCAAGAGCCAACTGGGCATATGTACCGCTTTCTTGCTCTAGATCAGTGGTCGCCAACCCGTCGATCGCGAGCTACCGGTAGCTCGCGATCGACAGGTTGGTTAAACATAAACAGCGGCAACGTTGCGGTGAGCGATCTGCCGCTGACGCCATCAAGCTAGAATCGGCTAGAACTGACCAGCCGGACCAGCGCGTTAGTGTTCGAGAACGATCTGGATTGCT